AAAAAAAAAAAAAATGGCTTAGCACCCATAGCTCAGTGAGTAGGGCACCAGCCACATACACCAAAGCTGGCAGGTTCAAGTCTAGCCTGGGCTTGCTAAGCAACAATGATAACTACAACCAAAAATAGCCAGGCATTGTAGTGGGCACCTATAGTCCCAGCTACTCAGGAGGCTGAGGTAGGAGAATCGCTTAAGCCAGTGGTTCTCAACCTTCCTAATGCCGTGGTCCTTTTAATCCAGTTCCTGTGGGTCACGACTCACCCACAAGTTGAGAACCATTGGCTTAAGCCCAAGAGTTTGAGGTTGCTGTGAGCTGTGACGCCATGGCATTCTACCAAGGGCGACATAGTGACACTCTGCCTCAAAAAAAAAAAAAAAGAAAAAAGAACATACTTACAGTGCTTTGATCTTCTTTTGAAAATAATGTAATTATCTTGAAAAGATTTTCATACCACACCTAAGATCCTCTCATGGCACACCAGTTGAAAATCACTGGTCTCAAGACTGGAAATCAGGGGCATTATTCAGTGAACATTGCTGAATGCTATCTATTTTCAAGACAGAGAGCTAGATGCTGGGAATATTAGAAACATAGTAAGATAGATTTCTTGTCCTTGAGGAGATTTATCCAAGTAAAGAACCTGCTCCCCTGTAGTCCTGCCAGCTTGCTGAGTCAGGTAGTGGTGTTGGTATAAGATGGTACTGGTTTGTCATGGTTGCTACAGCTATTGGCACAAGATAAAAAGAAGAGATTGAGGGCGATCCCTGTGTCTCAGTGAGTAGGGCGCCGACCCATATATCAAGGGTGGCAGGTTCAAACCCCGCCCTGGCCAAACTGCAACAAAAAAATAGCTGAGCATTGTGGTGGGCACCTGTAGTCCCAGCTACGCGGGAGGCTGAGGCAAGAGAATCGCCTAAGCCCATGAGTTGGAGGTTGCTGTGAGCTGTGATGCTACAGCACTCTATCAAGGGCAATAAAGTGAGACTGTCTCTTAAAAAAAAAAAGAAGAAGAAGAAGAAGGTATTGATATAAATGTAGTAGTGAATTTCTGTTTCTATGAAATCAGTGAATTTGAGAACTCAGGATTACTGTTCATCATAATAACAGAATGTTCTCCAAGATAGGATATTTAGGTAACAATTTTATTCTTGGCTTCATCATTTATATGGTCATGAAATTGTGTCTAAATGGGAGTTCAGTGAAAGCTACCTGTAACTGTTGTCCAATATGAAGATTCTGAAGCACAGAGAATTTTAGTTTTCTCTCTGACTCTGTATTACTCTGATATGAAAGTAATTAAAGACCAACCATCTATTATAGATCTAGATAGGCTTAGTTCACTACTTTGTTGCAAATCTAGTACTAAATCCCAAATTCCAAACACAAGGAGGCACCCCAAACGAGGTGCCACCCCATCTCCTGGGGCTTTCTGGTCAGACTAGTCCAGAAGCTCTGAGTCAGCATAACCAAGGTATAAAAGAAGCACATTAAAAAATCAGATTCCTAGATAATCACAGGAAAGATTCCAGAAGGCTTTTGTGAATAGGTGATATTTGAGCTGAGAACAAATAGATTTGGGCCTCTGTATCTGTGTGTTCTGAGTCT